GATATGCATTCTGGTTTTGTACTACAGAAATAAACTCCCACCACATGAATTCTCTCACTCCATGAGGATTATTTTGGCTTGTACTTGTTTTCCAAAGCATCTTTGAGATGGTTATCCATAAATAACAGCCAGAAACTGGCTACCCAGTCTGTTACCTACTTTTCCATTGATCAGTTGGTGAAAAATCCACACAAACTAAAGAGAACAGTGCCAGCAGAAAAAATACCACTTGTTTCACTGAGACAGATGCATACTTTTAAATATAGATTTTACAGAATTGTTGGTTTCTAAGTTCATAGGATTCATTTCCACTGTTTCTCAGAGGCTCTTTCTCATCCCCCATGTCATTGTCTTTCATTTGTACAAAATAGGCAGGAGAAGCTTTGCATTCGTAATGCCTGTCAAGAGATTTCAAGTGGATCAACATATGAAGAGCATAGGCAAGAACTAGAAGCAGAATCAGTGACATAACCAAACCCATAAGTATTGCTGGAGAGAAAAAGGATGCACAGTCTTTCGCATAGGCAAAATGTCCTTCTTGAATGTTAAAACCTTGAATCTAAAAAGAAAACAGAAGGGCTCAAGTTAAATAAAATCTTTACTGTCCTCATCACAAACTCCTCCACGAATTGGCTACTAAAGCCAGTAAAACATCCTAACCTAATGTCTTCCTATTTCAAAACTGTATCTAGCAGTGCTAGCTGAAGTTAACAATCAGAGTTCATCCAGGTCAGTCTTCTAGAAACAGCCAGTTATTCTAATCCCCTTAGCTCTGGGACCCAAAGGATTTGCAGCTTTATTTTAAACAAAATCTTCTATGATCACTTTTGATAGCCCAGTCACATTTAATTGTAAATGGTGTGTCTTTCTAATTTATAGTGCATTTTCAGCATCATTGGTTGACAATCTGCAGATTCTCTGTTTCAAATTGTGCAAACATCTAACATATTCTAACAGGACATTTACCAAGGCTGCATGCAAGGAACTGGACCGTCTGCTTCACCAAAACAGTTCCATGGATGATTTACCTTATGGTGTGAAATTTCCTTCCATCCTCATTTTTCAGCTAAACACTATCTCAAGACCTACTTCCCTGCATTTATTTACTTATATATTTTTTTCTCCTTGTCTCTCCTTAAAATAATTTCTTTCTGAGCAAGTTTTGACTTTTTCTTTTTAATTGCCCCTGAAAAGGGTCAATAAATTGGAAGAAAAGCTGCTTTATCACCAGTGGCACATTCAGCTCTGGGCTGTGAAGCAGTGACATTCTGTAAATGCTGTAGCGATAGAGAGCTAGGGCACACAGTCCAGTGCAGCAGAGCCATTTGAGGTGGGATCCATCCCCTCATTCAGGTATCTAAAAGGAGACATCCTAGTCCAGTCCTCTCAGGCACCTCTGGAACAACATTGATCTTCTCCTAAAGTTAGGATTAAAGATGAGCCAGGGAAATTATCCACTAGCTTTAGAGGCAGACTTGTCTAACTATAACTAGGGCACAAGGTTAAAATTCCTAGGCCTCAAAACTCAGATGAATCCCATGCACAGTGACTGGATGCTGCTGATGCTGGTTTTAAGAGCCCAGGTCAGAAGGATGTAATTCAGAAAGGGACATTCACATCCCACACTGAACGGAAACCCAACCAAGAGACCACAGAAAAAGTCTGTAGTCCTTCATCCCCTTTGCCAGGAGTACAACAATTAAAAGCTTATTTTCTACTCAATTTCTATTCCATGTTTCATGAAGATCCTATAAGCTGTATGTGGAAGGTCCTAACATTTTCATGGCACAAAGTGCAAACTTTCCATCAGCCTATCTAGCGTATCCATTTGGTCCAACTCTTTGATATTACCTGGAAATCAATAAAAGTGACTTCCCAGAGCTTCGAAACATCATTTGGGGAGCTGGGTATCAGGAGTGCATCATATCTCTGCAAGCTGCTCACGCGGTCACAGTGGTAGGAGTAACTTGACGGCGCATATATTCTGGTTGCATTGAACGTGGCTTGTACAGAGTGGTTGTAAACAAGCTGCAGTCTGTGTAAACTGAACCAGTTCTGAACAGACAGCTGGTAATAGCTGGTTGTTAATAAGAATCTGAAAATATTGTATGGGAAGAAAGATGAATTAAAACAGGTCTAACTAAGAGCTGGAACTGCTAAATTCATATGTTGAACAACCTTAGAAGACTCATTGAAATTATCAAAGATGCATTCATTTCTATTACTGAAAACTCTAGCAATTTTTTCCATCTTTAAGACAGCCCAGAAAGTAGTTCTCTGGGACTAGAGAATGGACAGCACCATTCCCCCCACCGTGAGCGAGCCACAGGAATGTTACTAGTGTGAGTGTCAAGCAATGGAGCTGCACTGTGAGGACACTACTGGCCTGTGGCCGCCCAGACACCTGGCTACTGAGCAGAAAAGCTTTGTTTCTTTTCTCCTAAATGGCCAAGAAAAACATACATGCAGTGCTGGCATTGCACTTGCGTTAAAGACAGGGATTTTTTTTTTCGAAAATTCAGTTGCACATGTGTTACACACATTTGAAACACATACATGACGTATTATTTGACAAGCAATTTTGTTTCCTTGGATCACTGAGAAGCAAATGAAGTAGGTCACAGTCGGCATCAGTTCTTTCAGCAGAATTCCCAGACAAAAATTTAGTAAGTTAGCAAGACTTAGTGAAATTCTCAAGCAAGAGTAAATTCTATTCAACAGAGATGATCTGATCCTGAGTAGGACAGTCAATACTGAAAAAGAAATGCCTTAAAACAAAATAGAAAGACAAAAAGATAGCCTTGTTAAATGCAAGTCTCTTCTGTGGCTTGATTCTATAATCAACAATTTTACCAAACTATTTTTGTGCATACAAAGTCTCTTGAATCAAATTTCACAGGCAACTGCACAACAATGCATTCAAAAGATATCAGCATTTGATTACCTATCTTATTTTACTTATCATAAAATACCTACCTATTTTACTTATCATAAAAACTTACTTATCATAAAAACTTACCTCATAACAAGTCCCTTTAGATTGTCAATGTCACCAAACTTCAGAGAAAGCCTAGGAGAAAAAGATAATGATGTTAAATGATGGATAAAAGCTTGAGAAGTAAGGAAAAAAAGAGCAGAGAAGATTAAGCACTGTTATGCATACGCCTGTTTCTCAGTAGACCTTTGAAATCAGTAGAAAAAAATTAAAAGGATTAAATCTTACTCCATCAAAATCCAATAGTTTAGTTGTTAATTTGAATAAGGCCCAGACTGTACAGGAAAGAACTATACACTTAACTCTCCACATAAGCTCAAATCCTGCTGTTTCTAACATCTATTGATAAGAATAATGAGGTTCACTTGACACATGCTCTCCTTCTTAAGTCAACCAGGCTAGTTTATAGGAAGGTCTCTTAGTCACGAGCCACCTGCACACACTATCAGAAAGCATGCTATGTGTATGCAGCAACATTTTCACCTTTGCAGATGCATATCTGCACCAGAGCATATCAAATGCAGATGGTATCCGAGTTCAAACTTCATACACATGCAGCACTAGAGCTATAATAATATACTAATTGTGAAGCTGCTCTACATGGCTTCTGTACAGTCACCATGGACATCTGAAGTTTTGTGAAGTGCAAAGCCACAGCAGGTTACTCGTACCCATCCATACTGCACTATCTCGGTACCACCTCTGAAAGGGAGCTCGCCCTGGCATACAGGTGCTCCAAGCCACATACTAGGAAGTTTGCTCCTCCAGGAGCTATTTGTTGGCCTTGCTACTGTGGGCTAGTTGCTCTAGCAGAGGAGGACGGCTCCTTACACTGCGCTGTCTTCACTGCAGTTAGAATCTCCAACATCCACGGTTGCATGGACACCAAACGTCTTCTCTGTCAAATCCAGCTGAGTGTGGTTTTTGAATTTAATCATGATCCTCTTGGCCCAGAAGAGAATGCAGGGGATGCCATTAACGGTGACATTGAGAGGGCTGTAGTGGCTGTGTGTGAGCGGCCTCCTGGCTTCTCTTTCCAACTGTTCTTTCCTGCTCAGGTTGTAGTTGATGACCTGATTGACCACATAAAAGATGAGTATCAAAAGACGAGCAGATCAGTATTTAGTTTACATCCAACCAAAATATATGAGGCCAGCACTTGAGAGCACCTGCTCCGACAGGTCTCAGCTGAAGTGGTTATGAGTGAGGAAGCAGAGAAGTCTCTGACTGCCTCTTTTCTTTTCAAGGTGGGAACCATACAGGCTTCTAACTCCGGCACAACTTGCCAGAGAGCCAAAATAAGCATTATTTGTTCTCCTGGTGTAGTATCACTGGCATAAATCACATTCTTAACATGTCCTCATCACATCCCATCACACCGTGGAGCAATTCATATATAATTAAAAAAAAAAAAAAAAAAAAAAGGAAAAGAAAAAGAAGAAAAAATAAAAAAGCAGCAAAGCTAAAACAACAAGATACTCACCCCAGAAGGAGATTCACTAGGGCAGTCCTAAGCATAACAGCAGTACGCTAAAAACAACGAAGCTTGAGCCAAAGGTACAGCCTACCATGTGGAAAGCACATTAGACAGCTGTCCAGGTGAAAGAAATGCATCTGCCTACAGGCACTTTGGCCACAGGTGGCTTTAAAAACAGACACTTGCTGCAAAGGTTTCTGTACGGATCTATGAATTTATAAATTATTGGAATCTCTACCTTTATAAAACCATTAACTTAGAAATTTAAAATCTGGGTACAGAGGGTTTTGTGTCCTACGTAGATATCAGAAAAAGATTAACCCTTCCCAGGCAAATTTCACAGCTAAACAAGGCTGATTTGTCTGTAGAGCAATATAACTTGAGACAATGAGCTAAAGCTCTGGATGGACTTGAAAATTTAATCCTCGTTTTCATAGTTCAAGCTAAGATTTCCAGACACCACAGATTCTTTTCCATCTGCAGATATGTCAAAACTGAGTATGCTAATGCATGTAATGTCTGCATGGCTGCCCTGCATGTAATACGAGAGAGCAAGTTCAAATTATGCACAAACAAGAGAAGTATTCTGTGTTTCAGCCATAAACATCATCTTATCAGGCTGCAGCAAGGATGCAGTTAAGCTCCAAAGCTTTGTCTTAGCTTAAAGATAGGGTTTTTTTTTTTTGCTGTTCAGATTAGCAAATCAAGTCTCCCAGCTCAGACCCTGAAAGACCCCTTTGATACTTGACCTTACAGATGGCACAAGCCTGATTTAGGAATTAAAATTATTAGGTACTTGCAGCAACAAGCAAGGTTAAGACAACAACCAGAGAATTTAACGCAACAGCTATCAAGCAACAGCATTACAAATGCCTTTGGGAGAAACTAAAAGCCCATTTTCTGCATAAGTACAGGACAGAACAAAATAATCATATTATTTACATTAGATTGTGTTTTTTACATGGTTCTTAATGGGGAATCTTCCTACCACCAGTTTTTAACAAAGCATACAGGCTAGATGGAGGAAAAGTTCCCACTGAATTTAGCAACCAGGAGTTTTGCTTCAGCAATTCTTTTTGTACCAAGCATATAAAGACATAAATAAAATACCGGTAACTGCAGTCAGATGGTATTGTGCTGAACGTGGACATGAGGATTTGGTTCTTTCAGAACGGCTCTGTGCTCAAACCCATGGCCAGTCAGCACCAGCTACACCACCCAAAGTGCTACCCCATTGCTCAGGAGAATAGATGTACTGGGCTACAGGTATCAGCCTCACACCACCATGGCTGGGACTACTCCACTGGCTCTTTCTTGTATGTAAACAATAAGTCATTTAATGCAACAATGGAAGTTAAAAGATCTCAAAACACCATAAAAAGCAATTACATATGCCGGGTTTTCATATGTTACCTGTGTAATTGCTAGTTGGTTTATGTTAAATTTTGGCTTCACACCACCGTCAAAACGTCGACCTGCAGAAGAAAGTGTGTTGTGAGTCTACAAAGAAAGCAAGCGAGCATTTATAAAAGCATAATCCTACATATCTTGACACCTTTACTTGTGAGAACTCCAGGACTCCAAAATTAAAGGGTTCAGCATATACATTTATTTATTCCTATACATTTATTTTATTATTTATCCCACACACACTTAAGAGACTGATTTTTTCTTCATAGAGAACCTATCAGAAGGGGGCTGTATGGAATCACATGGCAAAAGTTTATGACCTGGACGAGGGCACGGAATGCACCCTGAGCAAGTTTGCAGATGACACCAAGCTGGGTGGAGTGGCCGACACTCCGGAGGGCTGTGCTGCCATCCAGAGGGACCTGGACAGGCTGGAGAGTTGGGCAGAGAGGAACCTCATGAGGTTCAATAAGGACAAGTGCAGGGTCCTGCACCTGGGGAGGAATAACCCCAGGCATCAGTACAGATTAGGGGCTGACCTGCTGGAAAGCACCTCCACGGAGAGGGACCTGGGAGTCCTGGTTGACACTAAGTTAACCATGAGTGAGCAGTGTGCCCTCGTGGCCAAGAAGGCCAATGGGATCCTGGCCTGCATCAGGAGGAGTGTTGCCAGCAGGTCAAGGGAGGTGATTCTGCCCCTCTACTCAGCTCTGGTGAGGCCGCACCTGGAGCACTGTGTGCAGTTCTGGGCTCCCCAGTATAGGAGGGACGTGGAGCTTCTGGAGAGGATCCAGAGAAGGGCAACCAGGATGATTAAGGGAATGGAACATCTCTCGTATGAAGAGAGGCTCAGTGAGCTGGGCCTGTTTTCTCTGGAGAGGAGAAGGCTCAGAGGGGATATGATTAATATGTATAAGTTCAGGAAGGGAGAATGCAGGGAGGAAGGGGACAGGCTGTTCTCACTGGTGGCCAGCGATAGGACGAGGGGTAATGGCCACAAGCTGAAGCACAAGAAGTTCCGTCTCCAGGTGAGGAGCAACTTCTTTACTGTTAGGGTGACAGAGCAGTGGAACAGGCTGCCCAGGGAGGCTGTGGAGTCTCCTACTCTGGAGGTCTTCAAAACCCACCTGGATGCCGCCCTGTGCCACATGCTCTAGGTGTGCCTGCTTGAGCAGGAAGGTTGGACTAGATGATCTGTAGAGGTCCCTTCCAACCTTAAATATTCTGTAAAAAGCCTGTATCTATGGGCAGTAATTCTTTGCTTGCACCCGACAAAGATGTGAATCTGTGACAAATAAGCTAAATGCCTCTCAATGTCTGTCACGAAGGCAAAGTTCCATAGGTGACAGACTATTTCACAAACACTTTCCCAGCTCCAGTGAGTGAATACTGCTTTATTTCACATTCTCACCCAAATCTCAGAGTCAGTAAATGATTATTTTAGCCACAAAAATCTTTTAAAGAGTACTTGTGAAAGATACACTTTAATAAAACTTCTGACAGAAGTAACACAAATGACAATGGATGAAACATCTGGGAATGAAGATTTTACAGATGAACTAAGAGACTCTGTATCCAGGCATTCAGCTAGCTAAAAGTCTTACCATTTCTTTGCAGAAGATCTTGATCTGAAAATGCATGCGAACTAGAAAAGAGGAGGAAAATACTTATTGCATGATATCTGGATTTAAAATCTGAATAAATCTAATCTCACCAAATTTATGGAGAGCTCCTGGTGGTAAACCAGGTTCATTCAACAGAACACCCCTTAAGGCTCCTTAAGGCCACATGAGCAGCATAAAGTAACATTAAAGCCAGAGCACTTTCAGCATGAGAGGTCCCCAAGGCGGGCCAGGCCCTTTGGCCATTTCCTGCAGTACTGACTGAAGGTTTCATACCCTTCTTGTCCCTTCCACAATCACTAGCAGGTCACACTTGCCCACAGAGACCATGAGCAGCAGCAGCAGCAGCAAGGCTAACATGGACCTTCAGGATGTTATATACATTGGGGACTGGTCTGGTTCCAGCTCATAAGCACCAGCACAGTCCTTCCTACCTGCCCCATAGCAGGGCAACTACCTCAGAGTTTGTAGCTCCCCATAGTGGATTGATTTGCTGATCTGATGAAATACCCTCACTTGCTACAGTCCCTGCCAGTGTTCCTTACTAGGTGATAAAACTGCCCGAGAAGTCTCCTGCACCCAGAGATGAAGATCTTATCACAAGGACTTTCTATCTACTACCCTACTTCTTTCTGTCCAGTACAAAGCCAAATATATTGTAAGGACGAGGAATGCAAGCAGCTTTGAATATTTAAATGTAAATTGTATTGTAAGTAATTTGAACTAGGGTTCAAGCCTTGGTTTCCCTCGGCAAATGGCTGAGTGAGCCTCCCCTCTAGAGAGATTCCCTCCTGTGCATCAGTAAGTGCAACAGCTCTACGTTACCCACTATGACTTACTGTAGGAGTTACCTCAACTTAACTGTCACCACAGCATCCTTAATAGTGGCAACACCAAGGCAGAAAAGCTAACACAACTGAAGGAGACACAGCAGCCTTAAAGCCTTTCCTGCTCGCCCGTCAGCGCAGCTCAGGCAGTCAGGGAGTCTGACTACACTGAAAAAACAAAAAACGTTTTCGACTTAAGCAAAGCCCAGATCTCACACATAATGTCTTGTCTATATTTATGGCTCTAGAGGGCAGAAGGCTCATTCTTCTGATCCATGTTTGTCCAGTGAAATTTTATTTTTACACGCACACTGTGCACTACCGAGAATAGATCTGTTGTGTCTCCTTGCCAAATCCTCAAACCTAGAAGGCAAAGCAGACAGACAGAAAGTGGACTCTCCATTTCAGCTTGTCACTATGCCCCTAAACACCAGGTCTGAAGAACAGCTTTGCACTAGACTATTGGGCAGGCTGTTCAGTCCCTTCAGCAACTGAAGGCAATGCAACAGAAGCCGCTCTCCAGAGAAACTGTAACAAAGTACAAAAGGCAGCTAAGCTCTGTTGCTCCACAGTAATGACTTTAATCAGAGCTGAAAGAACCTTAGAAAGATTTTATGTATTAAGAGGTATAAAACACAACACTGTTTAATGTCAACTGGGCAGTTTCAATTATATTCACTGAACCAAACTCTGTGGAAATTTCACATCAAGAGTGAGCAGCTCTCAGAGATGGGTAAAAATAGCTCTTACTTTGATAGGCAAGCAGAAGGGCAGACAACTACCTTATGATTCCCTGAAGAACCTACTCATGACCTTTTTTTTTAATCTCTCTCCCTCTTTTTTTGTTTTAAAAAAAGTTGCTTCACAAGGAAGGAGCAGATGGTTTTGCTAACCCCCAAGGACAGAAGGAACTTGGAAACTGCACTAGGTTGTCACTTTACTGATACACTGGGCATGTTTCTTGCCTGTTCTTACTTAAGGCTATTGCAGTGTGAGTCCATGTCCAAATAACTTCAGATAACGTGGCAGGTTTCAACTTCTTCAAGAGTCCAGTCCAAGGAAAAACAATTTCCATCATAGGGAAGTGGCCACTATGACACACAACTGAAGTGAACCACACTCACTTTTCCTGCTCAGGAATACTTTTTCTAAGATCACTTCATGATTTGACCACATGGCATTTTTTCTTTCTATTCTGCTTTTATCATATATCATGCTTCGAGACCAGAAGACACAACACAGTCCATTGGGATTTTTTTCATGATGACAGCTATAAAAATGAGGCACACCAAGAGATATTAATGTGAATTAATAAACAATAATAATGTCAGTTAAATATAACTACACAGGTAGTTAAAAACTCATGGCCCATTATTCCAGTTCGGAAATTTTCATGCTGTGGTGGATGAATGTGCAGACTGAACTATTGGGATGATAGAAGGTTGACGTAAAGTTGCATAATCCAGTTCATTCCCTCACTAAAGGTCTTCAAAGCTTTGTGTTGTTCTGAGAAAGGGAGAGGTTGGTTTTGTTTTCTTGATAATCAATAAAAAAGTCATTATGTAGCTTCCTATCTGGAAAAAGGCATGAGATCTTCCATGAGATTACATTCGGAATAGGATGGTGATAACCAGCCATTTGCCCTCAGGCCAGAACAACAGTCTACAGCACACACAAAATCCCATGGAACACACAGGCACATTACCCCTGAAAACACCATGTCTCCTCCCTTAGCATGCAGATACTCAAAAATACATGAATGTGCGACGTTAATGAAATATTCATGCTTTTATGAGGAATGGAGCAGAGAGAGTGACCGAGGAACCATCGCAAGGTAGCACAATGTGACAAATACTCTCAACAACATGACAATCTCCATACACAGGAGAGGCAGGTATAGGCAGGCAAGTGAAAACACTCTGCTGAGATATTCCTGGTTATCTTCTCTCAGCATGAGTCTGCAGGCTGCCTAGAATTCTAATGATTTATCTGTAGCCCTGATTTAGCAGCAATGCCAGCTGCAACCTCCTCACCTCCCGCACACTCTCCAGCAACTCTCTGTGGGGAAGAGGCATCGCTGCAGGATGTGCAGTATCGGCTTTTCCTTAGTCTGACCAGGCTGCCGTGGCACAGACAGTATACGAGTGACAGCAGGGGACAATCACCTCAGTTCTTCTGAGCAAGCACAAGTTCATGATGATTTTATCAGGTCAGTCAGCTGCCTTTGACATGCAGAACCCTGAGCTGTCAGAAATGTATGTTATCCATGACAGAAATGTCATGGCCTTCAATAATCATCATGCTGTCAAATCACCAGCCTTTCTAATCAAAATGAATTTACAGGTGATCCCTTGTTGTTTTTACCCTCCACTGAAGTCACTTTCACATATCCAAAGCACGGAAAAAAAAAGTAATAAGGCATTAAAAATATTAATGCACTTTTGCGTAGAATTTTTAATTATGAGACATAGGAAACTAGGTATCACTACAGTTTTCTCCTCCACTTTCTGCAAAATTACCAGCAGAGGAGCTAGAATTACAAATCACATTTAGCATACTGAAGCATATATTAGACCTTTCATTTTAAAATAACTTTTTTCAGCCATTCTACCCTATAACTTCAACTTCAGGAGCACACGTAGCATATATTTTGATTACTAATAGCATTTCCTTAACAGTTTTTAAATGACTTACCCAGACACATTCAGTTGTGTTTTCCTATGTTCAATATACCATTCTAAATATGTCAGGACTCCAAATGAAATTGGCTTAGCCCTAATACAAAGCACTGGGTTGACTAATCACTACATAAAACCCAATTAAATAAGATTATAAGTATAAAGAAGTGTAAATTCCTTCTTACCAGATAACGTTATCCATCTCCATAAGATAATGAAGTCTGGCTTATTTATCCAAAAAAGTTAATATAGTCTCCAGACCTTGAAGAAAACTTGCCCCCTCAAGAGAGACATGCGACTAAATCCAGCACTCAAGAGTGACGGAGGAAGCCACAGACAGTTTTCACACTATCACACAAGTGGTTCAAAGGCAGCCATGTTCATAATACATTTCACTCTTCATACTACCGCTCCAACAGACTACATTAGTTGGAAAAATTAACTTTAAAGTAGTATTTGGACTGCTCCAGCATTATTACTGTATTACTAATACTATCCATCTGCAAATTACCTCCGTGGCTGCTAAAATACTTTCAATACTTTATGGAGTATTTAATCACAAAACATGACATGAAATGCATTAAAAGCAGTATTATGGCTGGAAGACATAGTTGCTGAGCAGCAAGGTACTGGTGTAGTCCTAGTGACACTGGTCATAACTAACTTCACTGAAGCTATTTCAGTTATGGAAGTATGAGCCCAGAAGAACAGACATCTATACATTTTATATATGCATCTATATCATTATAAATAAATTCCATGTTTCCTCACAGATCTTACATTTTAATTATTCTGTGTCATATTTGGGCAGCCTCACCTGTGATAAAAGACAGTGAGCTTGATTTACATAATTATTTTATAACGTATTGATTACTAGCATTTGGTCTAGACTTTCAACTCAGGCAAAACTACCACTACCTTTGACAGACTGTTTCTCCTAGGAATTGGATTAGATCTAACAAGACAGTCAAGCTTTCTTTTTTGAAATAAAAATGAAATTGGTCTCAGAGAACTTCTGGCAGCTTGATATTGTATAGATATGATCTTGTCCCCACTGAATCCAAAAGTAAAAAAAAAATCCAGTCAAATCACTGCCATCAGGATCGCATTTTCATTTGAGATCGAGATCATTTCAGTGCTCTCCTCATATCTTTCTCTCAGATTTTGATCTAATTGCAGGAAAGTGCTGTTACAAATAAGGCACTAACAAATCTCAAAATGCAGAGGAGAATAGGAAATAAGTTATTTAAATGAAAACATATTATTTATTGGTAACTAACTAACGGATCTCTTAATACTAGGTTAAGCAAATCAGCACATCTTTCTTGTCTTAAATGCTCACATTCTATCACCAGCTGTGATCTTCATCAGCATATTTGATCCATGTGTTATCAGTGACTTTGAGGCATGATTCAACAATGCAATGTGGGCTATTTTTGCTTTTCTAATGCACGGCTTTAGAAAGTCCTTTCCCTTGCTATGATTTGAGCTACCAATTATATTTTGTTAAAAAAAGAAATAACACTGTAATCAGTGATCAACCAAATCTCTAGTAATGTCAGCATTTTAATATATTTGTGATTCTGAATCCATGCTTCAAATATTCACTCCACCGAGCAGAACACTTTAGCACCTCTATTTCTTGCACTAGTTCTCACATCTTCACGATTACCTATTTATAATTCTTATTTTTACACAAAGCAAGAATTGTTAGTGTGAGAATCATTTAAAATGTAATAAAATATAAGGCACATTCCCAGAAAATACTCCCTTTTAACCCCTTTTTGTCTCATATATAAACATAAATAAATATAAAATAATTTTCAAATCACATTTTAGTGCAATATAGGCTTCAAAATAATTCATTTCAGTATCAGCCCCATACTTTTTAAACCTGAAAAGAAAATTGAAAGCACATCTAAGCTGTGATCAAATCTGCTTCCACCCAACACAGCCGACTAAACTACAACATTTAAACATGCACTCAACTTAACCAATACAGATCACTGAGTTACTGACCTGCCATCCACTATTGCAAACATTTGCTCCACAGATGCCGAGAATCCCACATATAAATAAAGGAGTAAGAATCTAACTGCAGCGTTTCTTTCCATTGAGAAGAGAGTCAGCCCCTCCACACCAAGCACATCTGCTCTTCTGCTCTAGCAGGGAGCCGGGCGGCTGCGTCTCCTCGGCTGCGTGACAGACAGCAGATCCCACCAACCAGAGGCAACGTTTGTCCCTTCAGCACTTCACAGGTTGCCCACAGAAGAAATTCTTCATACGTTTAGATTTCTACTGACTGTGCACACCTCCCGCTGACACATTCCTGCTTCCCTGGGGATGAAAGATTACAGGTTTTCAGGAAATTGTATCAGGTTGTGAACTGTCTGTTCAGTAAGAGGAAAAAAATAAATCAAAAAAGATAATCTCTCAAAGCTCCAAAGCCACAGTGGAGCTGTACTGAAAAATCACTTATTTATACTTAAAAGACCTAACCTTAAAAGCAGGGAAAGGCTCTACTTCAAAGCACATCTGAAATGTTCTGCTATGGAGGATAACCTGAGAATTATATGCATTTTAAAGATGTCTCATAACATCTTCAAAGTAGTAGTATTAAACACATTTCACAAATGTGAAAGCAGGCAAAGGAATCGTAGAGTTTTTTTTTTTCTTCTTTTTCTTACCTCAAATTTTCTCCTTTTATTATCTGTGGGATCACGTCATAAGCAGCAAAATCAAAGCAAAGTCCAGGATCAACTGGTTCAGTCCCCCAGGTGTCACTGTTTTGCCATGTAGCAAATGACTGATTTCGCCACACAGGAACTGAAACCTCCTTTCAGCTGCTCTCCTCGGGAAGGATGCACTTTGCCTGTGCAACAACGTCGGGGGGCAGACTAAAGCAAGCTGAACCCTACAACTATCATGTTTTCTCTAACTGCAGCCTGAACAAAAAGTGTCTGCACATGACTGGAATACTTGCTGCACATGACTGGAATACGTGGATCAGGTGCCACGTGAGCAATGTTTTGTCTTCTCATATCCAGTCTGGCCACGCATGCAAACAGAGCTATGAACCTACGATCAAATCTGGGGGAAGCTCCAACGCCCTTGTTGAAATAGGTCCTTAGTAAAGGACTTCAGCAGAGACAACTTACACTTGAAAGGAAGCTCAGCTGAAACTTGCATCTATACTGTGCCGTTTGCCACGCAGCAGACAGTCACAAACTGCTCTTCTGAAAAGCTGTGTGTACACACATATACTCCCACCTACATACATACACATCCCAGACACACACGCTACTTTCTTGCTTGTCAATAAAAAAATGTTCAAATACCTACAGATGTGACCACATAAGCTTTACTTCACTGATTAAGAGCTCTTGCCTATGGCATTCCAGATATGAGATTAAGATAGGGGTTTTAGCATTGTAACTATTAAAAAGGATTTGCCATCTTAATTAATTTCTCTTTGTGTGATACAGAGAACATGCACTAATCTTAAAATCTCTCAGCAGCTTGTCTTCAATATACTGCTTCTATCCAATTTAAGGAGGAATCTAGATACTTATGTGACAATCCTTGCTTGAAAAATGAGATAACCGAGTGCAGTGGTATACAAGTACTGGTAGAATACAATCTCTAACATTTCTGTGAAGCACAAGAAATGTATGATGCTAAATTTGGAATTATTACATTCCAAAAAGTAACAATTAAAGTAAATTGAAGAGACATGACTAAGGTAAGAATTTTAGGCAACCCTGACGGGAGGCAGAAGGACCACATACCTTTTTATAATTTTTAATCCACCAAATCACTAACATGTTAACTTTTCAGTAGTTAACTAGGGATCAGCTTCTGGATCCCCAGTTAATGTTAATTTGCTCAAAAATCTACCAGGATAAATCACTGAAAATATAATGACTTCTTCGGTCACTATACGCTACTATTATGTTTGCCGAAAGCAATACATTAATCGGTAGCCACAATCTAAAATCCTGACAGAGACAATGAGCATGAAGAAAAATCCTTTCCCCGCCTCTTGATACTTGCTGATAGCATTAAACATTTGATGTAGTTCTTTAAAATGTTCTTTTTCTGACCTTCAGGAGTGAACAGACTTGTGCGATTACCTAAAGAAAAATGATACGCACTGAAAGAAGTTATCCCGAATGCTTCTTTCTTTTAATAAAGAATAATGGCAAAATGACCATTTCCACAACACTGATGAAAGTGTTATAAAGAAAACTTAATGGATAGAGTTACATGACAAGATGTAATTTGAGGAGCTCTGAAGTTTCAGCTGATCAATCACTACTTACACTTACCTGCCTTACACTGAAATGAAACAAGGTAGCAAAATCTGGTCATTTGCTTACTACTATTTGCTTACTTACAACTCCAAAAACCTTAGAGTTGTTTTTCTGTTATTGTTGTTTTTAATCTTGCACAAAGGTAGTTAAGCAGTCAGCAATTATCACTGGTATAAGAACTTACAGTTTTGTGAGGTTTGTGAAGCAAAAGAACATAGAGCCTGACAGGTTAGGCAATCAGCATTCCTGGCTTCTCGCACATCCCTGAACGTGTCATCGCAGTCCAGCAAACCCTCTGTCAAACAGAATTATTACATAAATGTTAATGGAGACCTAGAGCTGACAGCTGTTCTGCCTGATGCTGCAATGATTATACACACACTGAGTTTGCATGCAACGAATGAGATTGCAGACATAATTTTAAACATAGATAATTTATCTCTTTGGCTAGCATCTCCTCGGGCAAACATTGCCATGATTTATTTTCAACATTGTTTACGACTGTCTTCAGATGACACATCAGGTCACTGTGAACTGAGCAGCTTACAAAATGACGTGAACACATCTCAACCAAAGTAGATGGCAACTGCTAGGCTAGGTATAAGCACTTACAGTACTATAACATCACTACTTTTAAACTTCAAGGCACTCAGTGTTCATCTGGTTCTGATATATGTACAGTGAACTTATCCTTGAAATACAATGCAAATACGGACAGAAAGTGAGACTTAATATACTGCAAAAGTTCATCTCTGTTCCAGCAAAACCCTCTCTGGGCAACTACTGTGTCCCCAGACCTATCAACTTTCATTTCCATCATGCAGTCTGGGATAGTACTGATATTAATCCTGGAACGAGCCTCTTATAAAGAATAACACTATTGATCTTTGGCCTAATTTATAGGAAAGAAAAAAATAATCTCTTCCTCCTATACCACTGTAAATGTCCCAATGCTGGAACTTCTCCACTCCCTCAGAAAATTTAACAGTAGCAGTCATCATTTCTTACCCATCAGTGAGCTGAGAAAAGCATGTGCCATTAAAATGGCAATTCACAGTCTTAGGTATGAGCCAACACAACCACGTTACTCATGCTCCTTTTTTCCAACTCTTTTTTTTTTTTTTTCTTCCTGTCAGCTGGAAGAGGAATTTAAGGAAACATGGACTAGATTTTACACATTACTAAAAAGAGTATGCTATATACCAATTGTTAAGAAAATTCTGGAACTATGAAACAGGTAAGGGTAGATAGCAGCGACAAGGCTTCCCTTCTCTCCAGCTATTAAAGAAGGGCACTCGTGCAAATACGAGGGCACAGCAAGGACAGCTCCCTTCTCCCAGGAGAGGAGGAGGTAGTAGTGGCTGCAGATAAACCTGCCACCGCGGCCGCTCACCGAAGAGCCGCTCTCGCAGGACGGCTGATAGCAGCCCGTCTCCCCGTGCCGCCCCTGGCTCTAAATAGGCACACTCTTCCCACAACCGTTAGAGCGACCGTTGGGAGAGGCGGGCTCCCTCGCGGCGCTGACGTCACCACCTCACAGCAAGAGCGGGCAGGGGGGAATGGCGGGGGTAGCGCGTGGCACCCTGGGACCTGTAGTTTCCCCGGCGGCCGGATGTGTCTGTCGGCGCCGCGGTGCATTGTGGGCTCTCCCTGCGGCGGCAGTAGCACGAGCGCCATGGGTGAGTGGCCGGTGCCGGTGGCGGTACCGGCAGCGATGACGGTACCGGTGGCGGTACCGGTGGCGGCGCCGCGGCCCCCGGGCGCGCGCGGCGGCCTCACGGCGGCGGCGCGTGTTTTGCAGGCAAGTGCCGCGGGCTGCGCACGGCGCGCAAGCTGCGCAGCCACCGCCGCGACCAGAAGTGGCACGACAAGCAGTACAAGAAGGCGCACCTGGGCACGGCGCTCAAGGCCAACCCGTTCGGCGGCGCCTCGCACGCCAAGGG